TTTTGATTTTAAGAAATAATAAATTAATAAATTAAATTATTTATTATAATAAATTATTAATAATAAATTAAATTATTTATTATTAAAAAAATAAAAAGGGTAAATAATAACTTTGTAAATTCACTTGGTGAAGGAAACTAGTGATCCAATGGTTTGTAACAGTTTTGTTTTCTTCTGACTTCTTTTTTTCTTTTAAAGAAGAAAATATTTATATGAATAGACTGATTGTAATTCTAAAATTTTTCCACTTGCAGAAAAAGAACTTCAAAACAAATTAATTGAATTTGTTCAACAAGCTCAACAAAATGGATTTGTTAAAAAAGGAGCAAATGAAACAACAAAAGCACTTAATAGAGGAAAAGCAGATATTGTTATTATAGCTGCTGATACTAAACCAATTGAAATTGTTTTACATCTTCCAATTCTTTGTGAAGATAAAAATGTTCCTTATGTATTTGTTGGATCAAAAGCAGCTCTTGGAAGAGCATGTGGTGTTTCAAGAGATGTTATTGCAGTTGCAATTATTAATGATAAAGGAAAATCAGCACCATCAGTTGAAACAATGAAAGATGAAATTGAAAAGCTTTTATTCTAAAAAGTGATTGATTTTTTTTTGCTATTGGTTTTAAAACATATTTTATTGTTATTTTTAAATTTCAAAGTTGAAGTTAAAAAAAAATAAATCAAAACCCTTTTTCTTATTTTTTAGTTTTAAAATATATCATTTCATGACATTCTTCTGTGCTAATTGTGGTAATTTATTGGTTGTTGAACGAGGAACTGAGTTATATTTTAAATGCAGTACTTGTCCTTATAAATTTACATTTAATAAAAAAATTGTATATGAATCAGAATTAAAAAGAAAACAAATTGATGCAGTATTAGGTGAAGAACAATGGAAAAATGCTCAAAAAACTGAAAGTTTGTTATATTAATTATTAGCATACAATTAATAACCAATATTTATTGTTTAGTTATTTGTGAAAAATGTGGACATAATTCTGCTTATTTCATGCAAATTCAAATTCGATCAGCTGATGAACCAATGACAACCTTTTATAAATGTGCTAATTTTGATTGTGGATATCAATGGAGAGATGGATAATTGCAAATGTAATTTGAGTTTTAACAGATATGTTTTGTAAATGTCAAATTTGATTTTATCAATTATTAGTTTTGATTAAAAAGGAGATTATTTGTGGTGAAAGGTTGAAAAATGATTATTATAAGAAGAAAGGTTATTGAGTTAGTTATCTCAGTTTTAGTAAAGTGATTGAAAAAAGTATTAAGAAAAAGAACCGACAAAAAAGGAAATTTTAATTTTTTTTTGACTAATTTCTATTAAGAAACAAACCCCTTCTTTAAATTTAATTTTTCACTTAAAAGTTTAATTTATTCTTTTGTTACTTGAATGCCACCTACCATCAAATTCGTTTTTCCTTTTCATCAATTCCTTCTTGGTCAAATGGTGGATGGGAAATTTATCGTTGAAACTAAACATAATTTGATGGTTGTTACTACTACAATTGCATACGTTTGTGTTGAAGTTGTTTTAGAAGAAAATGAAAAAATAGAAAAAACGATTCATCAACACACTGTTGTTATTAAATCATCAAATGAACCATTTATTATAAAAGATGGAGATGAATTTCCGTTTCATATTTCTGTTCCTATTGACTTACCTCCAACAATCAAAAATGATTGTGTATCAATAGAACATCGGTTCATTGCAACAGTTGTTAAAGCAAAGACAACTTCATTTTTTGGTCAAAAAAAATTAGAGGAACATATTATTGTTGATATGCTTTATCCTCATCTTAGTGGATTATCATATTTTACTAAACGTCATGAATTTTCTGTTGAAGGGTATTCTCTTTCTGTTAATCTTGAAAGAGACATATATTCTCTTGGACAAAATCTTCGTGTTAATTATTTATTAGAAGGGTCAGCAGAAAAAGACGTTCAATTACCTTTACTTATGTCTTTAGTAAGAACATTTACAAATAGAAGTACTGGAGAAATGGCTGTTATTACGTTTGTTAATTTATTATTTATTTCTTCAACGTTATCATATTATTTAATTAAGCAAAGAATCTCATAAAATAGGAAACATGATGATCATATTAGAATTAATCAACCCATTTCACTTGAAATCACCGTTCCAAATACAATATGTCCAACAGTAAAATCAGCTATATCTGAAGTTAATGTTGAATATTCTCTTATAGTTTCAGTTGATATGTTATCTCTTTGTTGTAAGAGAATTCAAATTGAAGGAAAAGTTCCAATTCTTATTACTGATATGCAACAAAGTTCAAAATCTAACTTCAATGAAATTGGTACATTAATTACCCCAAATGAATTTAATGAAAATTATAAAGAACAATTAAATTCTGTTTTAAATAATTATCAAATGGTATTACAAACATTATTAGATATGAAATTTTATAAAGACTTTGTTGTTCCTGATTGTCCTAATAGGAGAGTGTTTAATATTAATCAATATATATCATTAGTTAAAGAAATACTTGAGTCAATTCTTTCACTTGTTATAAATCCAGTAACATGGAGAGACTCAACAACCCTTCTTCCTAATTATTGTAGTATTAGAAAAATGACAAGAATGTTTCAAGTAGCTATTCATTTTTCGGTTAATTTGATTTTATTAATTCCACCAACAGCATTACGTACTTCAATTTATGTTAATTGTCTTCAAACATTAAATTGTTATCAAAATTTATTATATCATCTTTATATGAAAAAGAAATCAATAGAAGAAAGTATAGAAGAACTTAGAAAATCAATATCACATTATTTAGAATGTATTATTGAAGCAGATGAAGACAAATGGGTTGTAGAATTAGATGAATTTAGAAAATGGTTAAACGGGTTGAGCTTAGAGTCTATTCCAATAAACACAACAATACCTAAAGAAAATATAATGAATCAACTAAAACCACTATTTCATGAAGTACCAAATTTATTGTATAATATTAGAATGGCATGTGATACTGTTTCATTAGAAGGACTAAAAGACTTAATAGCTATATTTAAAACCAAAGTAATTAGTTTTATTGGACTAATACAAGGATTAATTACAGATGAACGTTCCAAAGAATTTCTTCGATGTCAATTTATTAATTTTAATCGTGGATTAGAGTCATATATTGAAAGAGCAGAAGTATTAAGTTTTGAGCCAACATATAGAACAGAAAAATATTGGGATTATTCTAAAACTGTTTTAGCAATGTGGAATATTGTTTCTATAGTTATTGAAGACAATCCAATTAATAATAATAATGATTATTTTCTTATTTATCAATGTGGTATGGAAGATGATAATTTTGTTATTAGAGATGAGAATGGAATAATTGTTGAAAATCCATGTATATATTGCGTTTATAAAGATGGATTATCTACAATTATTAAAGAAGGAATTTATAGATTAAAAACAAATTATAGTGATTTTATTGAAATGCATTCAAAAGATTTCTTAATGGTATTTAGTAAATTCTTACATTTATTATCTGCTTCATATCTTCATCCAAATGTTTTTAGTAAATTTGTTTGTTATTATTATTTAAAGTAATATTATTTTAAATTAAATAAAAATAATTAATAAATAGGTAAAACAGTTTCAGATTAAACAACGTGATGTTCAATTATTTAATCCTTTAAAAGAACTTTTTATTCGTATCGAAAATTTTATCCAAAAATTGATTATATTTTATAGAATTAATACTTCGAGAGATCCAACTTCAATTGTATATGACACATGTCATGCACAGAAAAGAGTTGTTGAACAATTAATGGTACTTGTAAGACTTTGTCTTTTACATGGTCAAATTTATTCTCCAATTTACGTTCAAATGATTGATGAATTTCAGAAATTCAGAGAAATGGTATATGGATTATTACTTCGTCAATTTCATCGTTTAAATGAAGAAGTTAAACATTCTAATGCAATTGATGATGAAATTCAAGGTTCATTTTTTGGTGCAAAACAACGACAAGTGGTATATACTCTTCTTTTTGAAGAACATGTTGATTGTTCTGAAAGTGCTGATATTCCAATTCAAATAAAAGAATTAGAAGAAGAGGTGGTTAGTAGTGCTGAAGAATTCTGAATTGTTATTAATTAAATTAAATTTGAAACAATAAAAAAAAATAAATGGTTATAACAATAAATTGATTATACATAGTTTTATAAAATAGCTAATAATTGTTTAACATCTTTACGAACTTCCATATCATCAATATTAATTAATTCACATAATACAAGTTGAATATTTTGATTAGTAATAAATAATTTTGGATTATTACTATTTTTTAAATGATATAATAAAATTTTAATAATATCAATATTTTTAAATTCAAATAATTTTAATATAAAAGGAGAATATTGTTCTGTTTTAATAATTAGTGAAATACACATTGTTGTAAATAACTTTAAAATAGAATCTATTTGTTCTTTTGAAGAAGTTGAAAGAAGTCTTAATGATAAATATCTTTCAATATGTTTATATAATAAAGGAATAAGAAGAGTTGGACACTTTTCAATATTACAATTTATAATTGATAATATTTCATATAATGCTGAAAATGATTTTAATAAATCATTTTGTTTTGGAACATACATATGTCTAATAATTTTATGTGCAATAAAATTATGTGGTTGTTGTGAATGTATTTTTAAACATGAAGTTGAACATATTGGAAGTTCACAAAGAGCACATTGAATCATTTCACAAGCAGGTAATAATTTATTACAATGAGAACATATGGATAATATTGAAGGTTGAATAGGTTCAGTAAAAGATGGAGTAATATTTGTTATTGATAATAATGAAGTTGTAATTTGATCATAAAAATATTCTATTAAATCAGTAAAATGAATAATAAATAATGAAGGTTCAGAAACAAGTTTTGGAATAATTTCATTTAAAATAAAAATACCTGTTTTTTGAAGAGCTTCATTTGTTGTTAAAATTAAAAGTGTTATTAAATTAATAACATCAGGTAATAATAATGGGTATGATTTTGATGTTTCTAATGATCTAAATGCAATAGATGTACCAATAATAGCTACCCAATCTTTTGATGTTTCATCAATACTTAGTGTTGAACTCATAATAATTTGTAATGCCCTCATTTTAATATCATCAATTAATGTAGGTTGTGTAAGTAATTTTTCATAAACAATTTGTATAACTTTTGTTGATATTTCAACATTTGTATTGAGCATTGATTTAGCAAGTGCTTTAATACATGGCATCCAAATATTAATTACATCATTATTTAATACTTTAAGGTTTTTAACATTTTCAGCAATATTTGCTAATTTTTCAACTGCATAATTAGCTGCTTTATCATTTGGACATATAGAAAACATAGATAAAGTATTAATATAATATGGAAAATATGAATCAAAATATTCGTCTTTATATTTCTCAAATTCAACTAATTTCTCAAATCCTGTTTCAACAATAACCATTTCTATATCTTCAGCCGCTGTTGATAATATTTGAAAAATACGTCTCCAATCAGAACATTTTTTTACATATGAAAGAACTAATTGTCTAACAGATAAAAGAGGAGAATCATTAATAGTAATTAATAGCATTTCATAATATGTTTCTGTTATATTGAAATATTCTAATTCTTCTCTTTGTATTAATAAATCATAAATTGAACTAAGTATTTCTAATGCAACTTGAGCAACTTTTGGTTGTGGATGAAGTGATATACTATTTAATATTTGAAATAAACTGGTTGATAATGAGTCATAAATATAAAATATACGATAAATATTAAAATGAATAACTGAAAGTAACATATTTAATAAAGAGATTGATGGTGTTTGTGAATTTGTCATTTCAAATGCTACATTTAACAATTGAATAATATACGATAATAGCCCAGATGGTGATAATGCTGTTCCATGAATTACTGCTAAGAATAATGTATCATCAGGACAAATAATTGTTTGATAAGAAGTTGTAGTAATTAAATCAAATGTTTTGTATGGAATATATCTATTAAATCTAAAGTGTTTTGGAATAGAAGTAATACGATCAGTTTGGATATTTATTAAATGAACAAATAATTTAATTGGATATTGCCATGCTTCATGAAATGAATTTCCATAAGAATAACAAAATTGTAGAAGTAATTTTAATGATGAAGACTGAGAATTAGTAGATATTGATTCTTGTAAAGGCCAATTAGATACTAATGATAACAATTGATTTAATTTTTCTTTTTCTCTACATAATGATGAAAAATAAAGTAAAGCACGTGTTGAAGAAAATGGATCTAATTCATTAATAAATATTTGTTGTAAAGCTGAAAGAATTAAAGAAAAACATCTATGAAACATATCAATTTGATCTTCAGTTGGTATTTGTTTATTTTCTTTAAATAATGGAGTTTCTTCTAGTTGATCGTATAATTTCATTAAATCTGTTGTTGGTACTTTGATATTCATTTTTATTGAAAGTTCCTTAAGTTTTTGAAAATTAGATATAATAGGAGTATCAGAAATATCTCTTGAAAATTGAAGAAGTAACATACATAATTTTTTTACTGTATCAATTGAATAACTTGTTGCAACATGATATATTTCAGCAAATGTTTTAATAAATTCAGTTGTTGATTTATTATCGTTTGGTAATATAAATCCATTTAATGAAATAGATAACGCATCATAAAAATCATATCGAGAAAGATCAAGAATAGAAAAATAACCATTTAATGCATCTTCATGTCTTGTTAAATAATATCCAATTCCATTCTTGTCTAATGAAGAATCTTTACGTAAATAATTACCAACTACTAATGGTTTTTGTGTTGGACATTTTTCTTCAATTGCTTCTTCTATCATTTTAGCTGAAGATAATAGTACTGATGGATGTATTTCTAAAGGTGGGGAAGGTGCAAATGAACGAATACATTGAACAATACCTTGAGCACAATACTTTTTAATAACATCATTTTTAAATCCATTAAGAAAACAATTAACAATTGATTTAAATACTGAACTTCCCAAAGAGTCTCTGTCAAAAATTGTATAAATACAATACATTGCATTACCTGAAGATGACAATGATAATAATGATTTAATTGCAACAATACTATTATTTGGGTTATTGGTTTCATTAATATAATTGTTAATAATTGTTCTACATTCACTCTTCACATGACTTCCATGTCGAATAATTAATTGAATTAATATCTGAACAGCAAGATCACTAATACTCCCTCCAACAAAACAGGTTGTTGAAAACATTCTAAGTAATTGATGTCTAATTGCATTATTTAATACATTAGGAAGACATGAAGAAAGAAGAGAATCTGCCATTTCCATTGAAATTTCATGGTATTTTATATTACCTTTACCTCCTTTTTCTTCTAAAAGAATATATTCTTTTTTAAAGTCTGTTTTAGAAAATGATGATTGATTAAACCAATTAGTTGATGCACATTGAAGTAGTTCAAGTAATACCGCTTGTTGTATACTTTGTTTTAATGATTTGTTTTCATTTTTTATTGATGTTGATGAAATACTTAAATTATTCCAAGAAGTATGACTTCTTGAAGGATATTTTTGTTGAATAAGAAATGAAGGTTGAATAGAAGGAGTATTTGAATAATGAGGACTTGAAGAGAGAGTTGAATTTAGTGATGAGAAAGAAATAATTTGATTTATATTTAAATTAGAATTTATTGCTGGTGATGGTGATGGAGCAAATACTGGAGAAATTGATGGAGAGCTTTGTAATAAAGGAGACATAAATGATGGAGAATGTGACTCAACAATTAATGTAGCAATATAATCACGAACAAGACGTAAAGGATAAAATTGTGATGGAGTTGTTTGGTAATAAGAAGATACAACATGAGTGTCAATAATAAAATGAATAGCCTTACAGTGATAAGTATTTTCTATTTGAAATTTTGATGTTAAAAAAACTATTCTACAACAATTAAGAATTGACTGAATTGGTTGAGGTAGAAAAGAAGTGAAAATAGAAGATAAGAATAGTCTCATTGTTTGATTTGAAAGAAATAATGGATCAATAATTGGTAATAAAACAGTTGTAAGTTTAGTTGTCAATTTCAAACGAATAATTTGAGGAAGTAATATTTGAAACAATTGTTGTAAATTATCTGATAATGGTTTTGTTGTTAATAAACAACTTTTAATTGATTTTATAGTAGAAAGTATATCTTTATCTTTTATTTCTTTTGACAAATCATTCATATAAGTACACAAGATGTTTTGGTCCATTTAGAATGTGAAGTAAATTTTTAGTTCTTTTCTTTTTCATATTGAATTTTCAATTGAAATTTTCTCTCTATTTTTCTGATATAAAAGAAGAAATGAGTTAAATAATATTTCAAGAATAAAAGGAGTTTAATTCAATTAGAATATGATTTAATTAATAACAATTAAAGACTTTAAGAAAAGAAATTTTAATTAAGTTATAAATATTTGTAATTAAATAAAGAAAAATATTTAAATTATTATTGAGAAAATGAATGAATAAATTTTGAGAATGATTCGTTATACATTTTTTCTGCATAATGTTCTAAAATTTCTTTAAAATCATTAAAACGAGGATTTTCTAATGATAGTAAAAGTGTTTTAATAATTATTTGAAATTCTTTATAATATTGATGTTTTAATAATATTTTAAGGTATTGTAATATTATTTCAATATGAAAGAAATTAATTTCTTTTCTTGATTTTAAATAAGATATTAAAATATTAATTAATTCTTTAGTATTTTCTATTTCAAATAATTCAATTTCTTCAATTCTTTCATCTAATTTTTCTATTTGAATTTTATCATTAGCAAATGAAATTTTTGGATTATTATAAATATTATAATATTTTGAATAATATTGAATAAGTTCATTTTTAACATCATTTGGAAGTGCATTTAAAACAGATATATCAATTTGAGATGCACTTGGTAATTCAACAAATTTATTCTTTTCATTTTGTTTTATTTTTGTATATTTTTCTTCTCGTTGTTTTGCTAAAAGAATTTGTTGAAATATTTTTGATTCTTTTATTTGAACTGGTTGAATAGAATGTAATTTACTTATTTGAATAGAAATTCCTCTTAAATCTTTTATTGGAATTTGAAATTGATTCCATAAAATTATTGCACTTTTATTAAGAATTGCTGAGTTTTGAGTTTCACAAATAGTAATACTCTTAGATTGCATATTAACAATGCCATGTCCTTTATATTTAATTGCTTCTCCACTTCCTTCTTTTCTTGTCATTATTTGCATAGTCATTAAAGTTCCCATAACATTGGATTTATGTAATCGTTTTTCTACTTCACAACACATTCTAAAAATAAATTGTTTAGCATCATCTTCATTCTCAAATCTAATTCCCCAATTTATTGATATTCCAACACTTTGCTTTTCTTTTTTATTCTCAAATTGAGTACTATCAATTCCTTTACTCATTTCAATTAATTTAAGAGTATTTTTCTCTCCTATTTGTTTTTCTAATACTTCTTTTGAAATTAATGAAATATCTCCACATGTATAAACCCCAATTATTTTACACTTTTCTGAAAGAGAATAACCAAAACCTGGAAGTTCTGCTATTTTTATTGTAGAAATAAATTCTTCAATCTCCATTTATTATTTCATATTCTTTTTAAATAAAAAAAACAATTAAAAACAAACATTTGATAGTAAATAGTATATTCCATCGGGTTTGGCTTTTTTCATTGCTAGACGTGCTGTAAGAGGATTTATTCCAATTCCAAAACTTACTCCAGAATGAATTGTTTCTTTAATTTCTGTTCTAACTTGTTGTAAAAAAATATCAATAGGTTCAGGAACAGAAGAAATATCTATAATACATTCATCACAACTCAATACTTCAATATTATGAAAATATTTTATTAATATTTCATACATTTTTAATGCAGCTTTTTCATATTCATCAAAATCATATCCAACAACAATTAATTGTGGACAAAGATTATATGCTTGTTTTAACCACATCCCATTTTTTATTCCATATTTTCTTGCTTCATAATTACAACTAGAAACATCTGCATTATTTCCACCATGTGATACAACTACAGGTTTTCCTTGTAATTCAGTATGTTTAGAAATTGTAACAGAAGCAAAGAATGAGTCAATATCAACGTGCATAATTTTAGAATAATTTGATTTAATTCCTTCAACTTTTTCTGAAAGAAAATCTGAAAATATTGTTTTCCATAAAGAAATATGATGAAGTCTTGAACTTAAATAATATTTATCAAGAAAATTTGGATCAGTACAATCTAAATCACTTTGTTGTTGTTGTTTCTTATTCATTTTTTGAAGACTATAATTAGTTATTGCTTGTAATGTTCCATATTTAATAGAATCTATTATCCAATTTGGATGAACAACAATCTTTTTTTCAAATTGAATTTGATGTTGATATGATAATTGAGCTGCAATAATATGAGTAACTTCAGATGAAGAATATTTCATTAAATATTTTCCACCATTTTGAAGAATTAAAGAGCGTAAAATTGATGCTGAAGGATGTGTTCTTCCAGTAATCCAAACAGCAACACCTTTAAAAATATTTCCTTTTCCATATTTCTTTCTTTGTTCATCAAATTGTTGTTGTTGTAATTTATCCTTTTTCTTAAAGTATTGTTTAAGAGTCAACATCTTATAAAATTGAGTTTTTATTTTGTAAAAAAAACACAAAAATAAAAAACAAAAAAAACAATTAAATAACACAAAAAGAGAAAGAAGAACTAATTAATTAACAAAAACATGAGTGCAACACCAATAATTGAAACTCTTCGCCTTGAAAAGGTAGAAGAAGAAACAAAAATGATTTGTTTTTCAAGAAGACAAAATTGTTGTGGGAGTTTTCAAAAAGAAAGTATAAATGAAAATAAATTTGAAATAGGAAAAGGAAATAAAATATGTGGACTAAGTGATGAAAAAGCGATTATTGAATTAAGTAATAATCAAATATTTATGACAAAGAAAAAAGGATGTTTAAAAGATATTTCAAAGAATTTAAAAGAAGGAGAAAATTATACAATTGGAGAGAATATAATTTTTGAATTTTTTGTAATTACAAAAGAAACATTTAATAAAGGAATTGAAATAAATAAAAGATATGTATTTGATAAAGAAATAGGAAGTGGAAGTTTTAGTCATGTTTATTTAGCAAGAGATAAAATTGATAATCAACAACTTGTAATAAAAACATTAAAAAAAGAAATTATTAATAATCAAATTTACTTTCATCAATTTGAACATGAAATTTCAATAATTAAAAAAATTAAACATCCTTTTATTATTTCATATTATAATGATTATAATATTAATAACAATAAATTTCTTGTATTAGAATATGCTCCTAATACTTTAATTTCTTATTTAAATAAACAAAAATCAAAAGAAAAAAAATATATTGATTTATCAATTTGTGAAAGAATTTTTAAAGAATTATGTTGTGCTGTTCAATTTATTCAAAAAGAATTTAATTTAATTCATAGAGATATTAAATGTGAAAATATTTTAATAAATGAAAATGGTCATTGTAAATTAACAGATTTTGGATTATGTATAACTGTAAATGAATGGGAACATGAAAAAATTAAAAAAGGTGGAATAGGAACTCCTGAATATCTTGCACCTGAAGTAAGAACAACACCTGCTTATTATTCATTTAAAAGTGATTGTTGGAGTGTAGGATGTGTATTATATTGTTTAATTACTGGTAATTTTTATAAATTATCATATAATAAAGCAATATTTGATGAAATTAAAACTACAAATTCTTGTTATAAAATGCTAATTGAAAAAGGAAAAATGCTTTTAGAAGAAGATTTAGAAAAAAGACCAACAATGATTAATTTTGTTCATCAATTTAGTTATTTTAATGATACTGAAAGAGAATGTACAAATTATATTAATTCTATTAATGAACATCAAAAATCTATATCTTCTTCTGAAGTATTAAAAATAAATAAAAATAAATCAAAAGAATTTCCTATTAAACGTTTATCATTTGATAATGACTCTTTAACTCCTCAAAAGAAAAAAAGAATTAAAAAAAATACTTCTTTTAAAAGTAGTGATGTAAAAATGACAAATTTATTTGATCAAAAGAAAAAAATAAATTAATTTAATTTTGTTTCAATCAAATGACTCATAAATTCTTTTGTTAATTGAGTCTTTTGATTAATAACATCATCTAATGCTTCCTTTAATTCTTTTCTCATTTGAATTAATCGTGCAATAAAAAGTGGAGTGGAATTAATTGTTATCCATCCATCTAATGTAATAGTTTTTTGTTTATAATTCACAGCAATTGATGTAGCTATTAAAGCAATAAATACTTTTTTAATTAATGAACATTCCCATACCATTATTTTATTTGATTTTACCATATTAGTATAAATAAATACATTATCTTTAAAATCAATTCTAGGCATTGAATTAATAGAAGATATTCCCATAAATACTTGATGTTTTTTTGTATAATATTCATATTCAATTGATGTTTTTCCTATAATTTGTTGTGGAATAATAATATTTGGATAAAATACATATGTTAAAATAAATAATAATAATTCTTTTTTATAAGATGATTGAATTGATTGAATTGGATAATTATAATTTTTTAATAACTCTATAAATTGTTTTCTTGTATCTAATATTTCTTTAATAAGAATAATATTTATATTATTATTTTTACAAAACTGTGTTCCATTTCCTTTTCTTTCAGATTCAATATAATGTTCTACTATTTTCATTGTTGCTATATGATCTGATGCATCAGAACAATATCTTCTCTTAATATTACTTCCATTTTCTCCATTAATTAATGGTTGTACTGACATACATGCTGCTAATAATGTAGCTTCTTGTGCAATTCCAAAAGCACATCCTAATAATAACATCTTTCCTATAGATACTTCAACTGGAAGAGCTGCTAATGCAGATCCTAATGGAGTTGCACTATATTCAAATTCTTTAACTGCTCCAGAAATATCTAAATGACTAATTCTTTTTGCTGCTTTAATAGTAACAAGTTGAAGTAATGACTTTTCGATTTGAGTTTGACTTGGTGCATCTAAAGCATCAGCAAGAAATTGAACAGGATTTTTTTCACCAAATAATAATATTTGAAGACATAATGATTCTAATGGTAATCTCTTAATTTCAGGTTGTGGATATGTTTCAAATGAACTTTCTCTTTTTTGACTATACATTTTATAACATTCTCCTGAAGATACTCTTCCAACTCTTCCTGTTCTTTGTTGTGCATTAGCTTTTGAAATTTTTGTAAGAATTAATCGTTGCATTTTTGTTGAACGATCATATGACATAATCCTTACAAGTCCAGTATCAATAAGATATTTAGCATCAGGAATAGTAATAGATGTTTCTGCAATATTTGTAGATAATACAATTTTCCATATTCCATTTGGTGCAATTGAAAAAGCTTCTTTTTGTTGTTGTAAAGGAACAGAAGAATGAAGAATATGAATTTTAAATTTATTTAAATTGTTAAAAGGAGGTGTAGAAATAATTTCTTTTTGTAATGTAGTAATTTCATAAATACCTGGTAAAAATATTAAAATACAACCGATTGGTTTATTTGTAATAAGATAATGTAATAAATCCATTATTAACTCATAATTGACAGTAGATTGATTAATCATATCTGATACTGTTTTGTTTGATTTGTTATTAACTTTATTCATATCAACAGTAATGAGTTGGTCACCAATTAATTTCTTTTGAAAATCATCATATTTATAATTATAATATTCTGAAGTAGAATCAATTGAATAATTTGTAAATGAAATAATATCATCTAAATAAAATGTTTGAACTGGATGAATTTTACTTTCAACTCTTAAACATGAAGCACTTCCAAAATATTGTTCAAAAAGTTCTACAGCTAATGTAGCACTCATAATAATAATTTTAATTGTTTTATTTCTTGTTATTAATTTTTTAATCAGTAATAATAAAAAGTCTGTATTAATATCTCTTTCATGAACTTCATCAATAAATAAATGACTAATTCCTTCTAAATCTGGATTACCAAGAACCTTTCTTAACATTACACCAACTGTACAATATACTAATTTTTCATCTCCTGTTTTCTCAAATCTAATTTGATGTCCAACAAATTTATTTGATCCTCTTTCATCTATTACTCTTGAAGACAATCCTACTGCACTAATTCTTCTTGGTTGTGTTACATATATTTTAGTTTGACTTCCTCGTTTATTTAATAATTCATTTTCTAAAACAAATTGAGGTAATTGTGTACTTTTACCACTACCAGTAGTTCCTGAAACTACAACAATTTGATTATTATTTAAAAGATTAATAAAATGATCTTTATTAGAATAAATTGGTAATTGTTTTCTATTTTCCAACATATTTTGATAATGTGAACTATTGATTTCTTTATTCATTTCATCAAAATAATAACCATTAGAAAATTTATCTTTAGCTTGTATTTCTGATGTAAACCTATTAATACTTTGTTCTTCTATTTCTTTTTCTTTTTTCTTTTCTCCTTTTGGTGTTTGACTTACTAATAAAATAATACTGTTTTTAGTAATTTCTTCTGGTGAATTATTTGTCCAATTATCAAATACTTCTTGATATCGTGGTGAGAAATTATTAATAAAATTTCTTTGTACTTTCATTTCAAATAATAACCTTAAAGCAATATAATTCTTTGCTGTAGCTTTTTCAAGAAAAGCAGTATTTTCTTCTGGAATACGTGCATATAACACTGTTTTTGATTTATCATTTAATTGTACTGATGCACTCATAAGAAATCCTTCTTTACATTTTTCATCTTTATACTTAGGATTATCATATTTTTGTCTTCTACAATAGTCACAAATAATTACTGAAGGAAACTTACCTGTCCATTTTGTATCTTCTGCTGCTGAAATGATATTCCATCGTTCATTTTCTTCTTCTTTAATTTCACCATCAAAATTAAAATTTAATTCATTTTCTTCTTCTTGAGCCTCTTCTTTCTTTCTTTTTTCTGCTTCTTCTCTTAACCTAGCAATTTCTGCTTTTCTTTTTAATCCCTCAGCTCTCATTTCTTCTGGAGTTTTCTTTTTCTTTTTTGTTGTAGAATCCATTGCTTCTTTAAAAGCCTTTCTATCAAGTAATGCATCAAGATCTTCTTCCTCTTCTATTTCTTGTTCTTTCTGTTTTTCTTGAATTTCTTGTGTTTTAATTATTTCCTTTTTTATTTCTTGTTTAATTTCTTGTTTTTCACTCTTTACTTTATTAAGTGTTCCTCCTAAACTGTTTGGTAATAATCTAGATGGAATATTTAGACATAACCATTCAATTACCATATCAACAGTAATATCATCAGAATTTTCTAAAGTGGCTCCAACCATCCCTTTTTTGATAAGTTCTGGTGTCAAACCAAATTCATTAATTAAGGAATCATATAAAACTTTTAACCTTTGAATATTTTGTGCATCTGATTGTTGCTTTTCAATTTCTTTTTTTTCAATAATTTTTTGTTCTTTTTTTTCTTTCTTTTGTTGAATAGCTACTTTTGGTTCAATCTTCGGTTTAGTGATCTCTATCTTAGGTTGACTAGAAGGTGTTGATTGGTTTTGTTGCAGTCGTTGAATCTTTTCTAATCTCTGTCTTTCTAAAGCTTTTGCCATTTGTTGTTTCCTACGACTCATCTCTTTCTAGAACAAACTCCCACTGGTTATTTTAATAAAAATTTTTGTGTTATTTTAGTTTTTTGTGTTTTTCTTTTTTATTAAAAAGGGTTTTTAATATATTTTAATGAATTAAAATTTTATTATATTACAAATAAAATGAAAAAAACAAAAAAATGAGTTAGTGACAAAAAGATTGATTCTCTGATAAGAAGATTTTATTTCTAACTTGAAATTTTATACATTTAAATGAATATTGCTATCCAACCACCACACTTTCATATTTCTACTCTCCATATAATACTAACAATAATTTGTTTAGTATCTTTTATTTGTTGTATTAAAATATTTAATACACCGTTTGTATTATTTTTATTTATTTAATACTAATAGTAGCTTACTTATAGATTAACTCCAAATTCTTATCAGTACCAACCAAATTATAAATTATATTCAAAAAATTCTCCTTTTTTTAGAGTTGCAATAATAAGTGATTTAGATAAAGCAAGTAAGCTCAATAAAAAATGGAGGTCTTCAATGATTATTGGAACAATATTCAAACAAGGGAATACCTATGAATTTCAACAACAAGAAGAATTTAATTTAACTTTAGGAATCAATGAAAATGGAAGAGGAATGGAGTTAAGTGAATTGTTAAATTTTAATGGAGAATTATATGGATTTGATGATAGAACAGGGGTTGTAATGGCTATTGATTTAGAGAAAAAAAAGACTTATCCTCGTTATATTTTGATGGATGGTGATTTAAATTCTGATAAAGGAATGAAAATTGAATGGGCAACAGTTTATAAAGATTCTATGTATATTGGAAGTATAGGAAAAGAATTTACAACACCAACAGGAGAATATTTAAATGATAATCCATTGTATATTAAAAAAATTGACCAAAATGGAAAAATTACTGCAATAAATTGGAAAAATAAATATAACAACCTAAAAAATGCAGTTGGAATTTATGGAGATGGGTATATGATTAATGAAGCAGTTACTTATTCAGCTAGTGCTAACAAATGGTACTTTGCACCTAGAAAATGTAGTAAAGAGAAATATGATGATAGTAAAGACGAAACTCGTGGATGTCCTTACATTATTTCTACTGAAGACTTTAGTAATTTTGATATAATAAATGATCCTCAACATGACCTTAATAAAGGATTTAGTTCTATTAAAGTTCTTCCAAATGATGAGAATAAGTTATTATATTTAAAGAGTGTTGAAGTTGGAGAAAGAAGTGAAACATATATAGGAATGATTACTACTTCAGGAGAAGTATTAATGCAAGACAAATTAGTTGCTAAAATGAAAATGGAAGGAATAGAATTTATCTCAATGTAATTTCAATTAAATTATCTTGTTCTTTTTGTATTGACTCTTTAATTATCCATAAATAAACCACTTTGATGTAAGATTTGAGTATATTTTTTAATAAAATTCTTACGAGTGTCTAAGATACGTTCAATAAGTTCTTTATTTCCTTCAATGTCATTAAGTAATATTACAAATTGATCTTCAGTCATATGAATTGGGTCAACAAATAATTGAACAGGTTTTGCTTCCATCAAATAATTTTTATTGTATTTAGTTATCTGTTTGTATCCACAAAATATTATCTATTAATCTCTAACTCATCAACTCTCGTTTTGGTGACTGTTCTTTTTCTTTATGAAAATGTAAATACTAAAATTTTATTCAAAACGATAATAAACAATTTCAAATTATATTTTTATTATTTTTAAATTATAATTAAAAAGAAAAATCACAAAGAGAATAATCTAGTAATGGTTTCCACGTTGAACAGGAAAAAGAGTATTTGAGTTAATAAAAGATAAAAATGCTTTTATACTTTTAGGAAAATAGTTGAAAAAAGAATCAAGTAATCTTGAAAAATCAATTATGTCTAACGAAAACGAAAGTTGTGAAAAAGAGAAAAAGGTAGGGAAACACCAACCAGGGAAAAGTCTTGTAGAAGAATTTATTCCTTTTAAAATGGAAGTTAGTCCATTTAAACCACGACTATATAGTTACTGGATGGATGCATCACGTTGGAGTTCAAAAATGCTTGAAAAAATGCTTATTAAAAAAGATATGAGAGGTATTGGAAATCGAATGAAAATTTTATCTGTTACAGGACCAGAATTTATGAAAATTGACAGTAAGTTTAATGTAAAACTTGGTGCTGAACTTCAAGAATGGAGAAATTTATTAGCGTATAGAGATGAATGTAGAAAGGCAAGTGCTGCATGTATATTACAACGTGCTATTCGGTCACGTCAAAAAGTAAAAGATTCAAAGAAATATATTTATTGTTCTAAGATCGTAAATGAAATTATTTCAACAGAACAAACGTATGTTCAACAACTTGATGTCGTTGTAGATTTAATTATGAAGCCATTAAAAAAAATAAATAAACAAGAAGAAATTATAACAGAAGAACAAATGAAATTAATATTTTATGGATTAGCAAATATTCAAGCAACAAATCATGCATTGCTTGATAATTTAATTGAGAGTTGTACAAACTATTCTCAAAAAACTTGTGTTGGTAAAATATTCTTAGAATTTACACCATTTCTTAAAATGTATTCAGACTATTGTAGAATTTATAATAATATTTCTGATATGGTTTGTGTAACATTAAAACCACCTCATCCATTTGCAAAATTTATTGGGGATCAAATGAAACATGCACCAGTAGGTTTAAGACATCATACATTAACTTCATTATTAATTACACCAGTTCAACGTTTACCAAGATATAAATTATTATTAACTGATT